AATTGACGCAGTTTTGAGGTAACAAACGTATAAAATAATGCAACCGAATTGATAGAGCATTAATGTTTTTGCCACATACTCAATGTTCTGTAATTTATTGTTATATTTTTATCAAAACATTATTTTTAAAACCTATTTTTATTAGAAAGCACTGGCATAAATATTTGGATACAAAATAGAATCTTTTGCCAAGAATTCTCGCAAAGTATAAATATTGCATAATATATATATATTTATACTAAATTTATGACTGCGTGTGGGAGCGTTGTGATCACACTGCAAAATGCACTGTTCCGGAATTATAATATGAATAATATTTTTAGACTAAAATCATTCCGTTATGATTGCTCGTACCATAGATAATAAATAATAATAATAATAAACCTGGACAATTCATACAGCGTCATCTATTCCCAAGCTAAGCAGATCTTATGTTACTAGACAATTAATATAAATTTTAGATACATTTTTATAAATACCATACTATACATAGAAAATAACTAAACCGATACAAACAACCGTAATCATGGATATAAATGTTTGTACCTTGCGAGGAATCGAACCGACACAGAGTAAGTCTGCTGGACCACCGAGACTGATGTTATTATGAATTTCTCAAATTACTGCACTTGTTTAGAAGGTTATTTGTAATATAAAAAATCGAATCTGCTTTTAAAAATAGAATAGAAATATGGGTTTAAAAATCATAGTATTTTTTTAATTATCTACTTATCCGTAGCGACAAGTGTAAATAAAGTAAACAAGTTGTTAAAAATATAATCACTTCATGGTTCTAAATGTTTAATGTATTAGGTATACTTTAATTTTACTTCATTTTGCTGTATGGTCGTCGCTGTGGACACACTTTTACGGTAGGAACCCTCTTAAAAAGTATTAGCTATGTTACGTAAAAGGCTTACAGTAGTTTATTGTGCTCTTAGGCTATTTGTTTTTTATGTTTTGCCTAAGGGTCTTGTAGAAAAGTCTTTAAAGTTGAAAATCATGACAATAGAGTAATAAAACCTTTACAATAATGTCGAAATCTATCTTTCATCATGCAAAGTTCTTTACAGAGTAGGCAGTAGTAGAGAATGATGTAGAACTATAGAACTAGCTTTTGCACGCGGCTTCCCTCGCGTTAATTTATCCCTTTAGGGGTGGAATTTATCAAAATACTTTCTTAGAGGATGCCTACGTCATAGTAGCTTTATAGCAAAGTCTCAGCCAAAGGTCAGTTTAAAATTGACAAAGTTTCATACAAACTTTCATCCTCTATTTTATCCCCTTGGGGGCAGAATCCTTTCTTAGTTCTTAGCGAATGGCTACATCGTAACATCTACCAGCATGCCAAATTTCAGCCCGATCCGTCCAGTGGTTTGGGCTGTGCGCTGATAGATCACTCTGTCAGTCACCTTTGAGTTATATATATTTAGATTGTAAAAATTAATAAATATATAAAAAAGAAGAAGTACTTCTTTCTTCTGTTTTCTCGTTCTAAGTAATGTGCAAACTATAGATCATTATTTATGTGGGATTGAATAAGTTGATGCATGAAGTGGAACGTTACGGGAAGGAGAAAGATATATGTGTGCGAGAGAGGGAGAGAACGTAATACACTACTTTAATGATATATAAAATTCTCGTATTACAATATTAGTTACGATACTCCTCCGAAACGGCTTGACCTTTTTTTATGAAATTTTATACGTATATCCAGTGAGTCTGAGAATCGGCTACTATCTATTTAATATCCCTAAGAGTTTTGTTTATTTTTTAGACAAATATTTTATTTTTATTTTTTATAAAATACATATAACCCTAAATTTTCACCCTTCTAGTATCGACCCCAATTTTTTAATAGCGATTTTAATTTATATGACAAAACAACTTTTGTAACGTATGTAATGTCTGCTAGTAATAAATATATATATATTATATATATATATATATATATAGAATACGAAGACAGGAATAAGCTATTTTTTATATAACAATAAAAATAATAAAATATTGTAAGAAAGCTACTCTGCCTTAAGTCGTTAGCGTGTCATCGCTCGGTCGCAGTTAATAGCGGCCGTTAATATGTTTACACAGAACGCGCCCTTAATAGTACAGTGTTTATCTGTTTAGCATACAATATCTCATGACTCTTCCATTATGTTTATAACAATGCAGTGCGCCGGTTATGGTACACAACGCACTGGACTATATTTTTTAATCGATTGTAGGATTAACCCACCATCGATAACGGTAACAGTGATGGTACATCAGCGGATGATAATAATAATCTTATTAATATTATAAATGTGAAATTTTGTAAGTATGGATGTTTATTACTCTTTCACGCAAAAACTACTGAACGGATTTTGATGAAACTTTACAGTAATATAGCTTATACATCGGAATGACACTGTATGGCTGGCTATAATTTTAAAAGATATTATGTAAGTTGGACGAAATACAATGATAAATGTCATGTAAGTGAGATGCAGACGAAATTGCGGGGGTCAACTAGTAATAAATAATCACAGAAAAAGCGGATACTGACTGTAATTTTACTTAATATTATAAACGCGAAAGTTTATATATGTGGAAGCATTGATTGTTACTACTCTTTCACGCAGAAACTGCAGAATCGAATCTATATTACTGTAAATTTTAATGAAATTTATAGTAATACTAGCTGTATCCGCAACTTCGTCCGCATAAATTATGAATAAATATTTAATGACCTAACTCAATATAAGCCAAATAAAAAAGTTACATCGTTTTAGCTTTAAAAATGACGATTCTTCCATACAATCTTTCATCCCCCCTTTCAACCCCTTACAGCCCTTTTTTCATAATAAAAAGTAGCCTATGTCTATTCTCAGGGTCTAGGCTATTTATGTCCCAAATTTAATTTTAATCGGTATAGTAGTTTTGACGTGAAAGCGAGATAGACAGACAGACAGACAGACAGAGTTACTTTCGCATTTATAATATTACTAAGGATAGCTTATACAACAAAATAAGACATAGGCTATAAACTGCGAACAGCTAGTTACCTTAGCTATATGAGGAGCTACCTGCTGAGGCTTTCTCAAGAGACTACAGTATGGGGTTTTTCAAGAAGGGTATATTAAGTTTTCTTATGTGTCGACAACGGGCACATAATAAAGGAACAGGACATTGTCGACTATATTCGGACCAAAAGTAACCTGACATTGAGGGTGACGCAGCTGGAATCGAGTCACAACGCGAGCTTCAAAGCGTTCGTGGCCCGGGTCCCCACCAATATGCTGCCCACCCTCATGAAGGAAGACTACTGGCCGAAGTGGGTGGTCTATCAGCGTCACCATGGCAGATTGCCTTCGTCAGTGCCGTGACCATAGAGACAATTTTATTTACTTTTTATTATTATTTCTTATGTATGTTAGACTATAAGGTACGTATAATATGGGGCATGTAGCCTGAATTAAATGAATAAATCAATAATACCTATGGTGTTTTAGGCGTCCATAGGATACGGTAACCGTTTACCATCAAATGGGTATGCTTGTTTGCCACTTATGTGGTATAAAAAAAGTATTGTGATTTGATGAGCATTATCAGCATCATTTATAGTCAATTCTAAAACTGCGCGGTTAGTAATTTATCACGATCACATGATCAATATAAAACAATAAAAAACAATCGCTGGCATAGTCAGAGGTTTATACAATAAAAACCGGCTCGCCTACAAATTGATTGGCCTGTAGACCTATTCTGTAAGCATCACTAACGAATTCGAAAGCGGAATCAGCGGTAAGATCGTACCTTGGTATTCTGTAAAACTCGATAAAGATTGCAGCCATAAGACTGCGCCACACGCTCGAGAGCGGGATGGAAGTAAAACAGGCACTAGAGATGTTTTTAGAAATATCGGCAAACTCGATAGATCAGTAACTAGTAGTAGTAGTCAGGAACTGTATATTTGACAGATGGATACGAGTGTTCGAGTGAAGCGATGAGTAAAATGAGTTGATAAAATGCTTACAGAATACTAACACTGTAATGGACTCAACTCACGACTAATGACTCACCATTGCGTAGATAGGTCGAGGCACCACAGACTCATAGAAAGTACAAAGGACTAGTCTACTAAATAATGTACGTATCATTACATAGTATAAAACAAAGTCGCTGTCGCTGTCTGTCCCTATGTATGCGTATATCTTTGAAACTACGCAACGGATTTTGAAGCTGTTTTTTAATACATAGAGTGATTCAAGAGGAAGGTTTATATGTATAATATAGAGTTGCCAACCGTCCTGTTTTTCCAGGACATGTCCTAGTTTTTGAAGTGTCCTGGGAAATCCTGAATTGTTAATACAGACCGCTGACCACGCTCTGGGTTTTTTATATATGAGTGCCACTTATTTACTGATTTTCAACAATATAATTTTATCAAATACTTTTTATTAAACATCTGATTATATTAATTACTTGGAATTTTATTACAAATTAATATAACTATTGCAACACTATTAGAAAGGTATATTCTCGGGATCGGGATTTTTTTATGGATTATAATGGAATGGTACTCGCCTGCGCTAAAGGTGGTTTACGCTGGCGGGGCACCAGTGGAAGATGATAAGATGAGAATGTGGTCAGGTGAGTTAGCCCAACGTGGCAATTCACTAGGAATATATAGAAAACACCCAGACCGATACAAACAATCATACTCATGAATACAAATGTTTGTGCCGTGCGAGGAAGCGAACCCGCGACCATCGGTCGTAAAGCGGTGTGCTAGACCGCTAGACCACCGAGGTCGTTTATATAGATGTTTGTTACTCTTTCACGCAAAAACTATTGAATGGATTTTGATGAAACTTAATAGTAATATAGCTTAGATCAGCATCAGCTAGCTTAGATAGCATCAGAATAACACAGGCTATATTTTTTATTGAAATTTAATGCGAGTGAAACCGCGGGCACAGTTGGTTACAAATAATAAAGTGTAATGCTTGTTACAGGTGGGGTCAGGCAGATGCAGCTCCCCGGGCACAGGGCCCCTGTCCCCGGCGGACGGGCCCCGGTGGCCCCATTCGCACCACCCGCACCCGCTGCACCACGCCCTGCTCTCGTCCAGCGTGAAGCGCGGCAAGGAGCTGTGAGTGAATGTTCTAGAACGTAATGTGTGTGTGTGTGTTTATTGATGTAAGAATTGGTTTTGCTCAATTTAATAAAATTTTGCATTGAAGTTTCTATTAAAATATTTATTTCAGTTATCTAGTACGTTGCTATATTTACTGAGTGTGTGATGTGGTCTATTTTTCTGTATGTAATGTCTTGTATACGGGGCTTATTTATGTAATGATGTTTGTAATAATTCTCAATTGAAACAAAGAGCGATGATCACTAAACTATGTGCGCTGTAGTATATTGCGGGTGACAGTTTCGTTTCACTCTTGAAAGTTGCTGCGATATACAAATTATGACTTAGTATTTCAGCTATACCACATTTATAATATATTAAATTAATAGCTGTGCTCGCAACTTCGTTCGCATGTTATAGTGACCTTGGCCAAATAAAGAGAACATATTAAAAAATTTTACCCAAACAAAAAGTTTCATCATTAGCTTCAAAAATGATGAATTTCCATACAAATTTTCATCCCCTATTTTATTTTACCCTGTTAAGGTAACATTTTTACAAATTTATATTTAATGAACAACTTAATAAATAAATTTCAAGCTTTAAATATTCTATGCAAACTTTCATCTCCCCTTTCAACTCCTTACAACGCATTAAAAAGTAGCCTATGTCCTTTCTCAGGGTCTAGACTAGATGTATACCAAATTTCATTTAAATCGGTTCACTAGTTTTGGCGTGAAAGCGAGACAGCCAAAGAGAGTTACTTTCGCATTTATAAAATTAGGGATTAATAACTGTAGTAAGTTAAATTTAACCCAGCCAGAATGTTCTAGTCTACAAATACAGGCAACTGTCACCCACACCATGCTGCAGTGCACATAGTATAAGTTGTACGGATTGCAATTGCAAACGGCCCTCACATAATTCCAAATTTGTAGTTTTAATCAGTTTCAAATGAGGATTGTTTGTAACAACACTACATAATTAAACTCCAATTCTCAATTTTAACTTCCTTTTAACAATCACATTGCAAATAATTCTGGTTGCTATTCGAATTAGTATTGTGTAGTACACAACAGTTCGAAAGAGAGTTTAGAGAAAATAGTAACGTCTTAAGATTGTTGTATACTGTTATTTTAACGGTATTTACTGTATAATAAAGTGTTAAAAAAACAAACTAACTTTGAATGTTTGAAAAAAAATAGAACTCTTAATAGAATATCTTTGTAACCTAAAAATAAAGTAGTGTAGTGAAACCTAAAGAATTTAATATTTGGGACATAAAAAATCAGAAACGTATAGACATAGAGATTCGTCAGCCTACTGCCTTTTTCTGACTTGAGTTGCTGCGAACGAACTACACTCGCGAGCAAAAGTGTAATCCAGGATAACCTCTTGAATAATGGTGTGATTTGAATGAATGTGAAATCAATTTAAAGTTAACAGTTTAACCTTACAAATGGTGCCATTTTTATTATTCTAAACCATTTACTAAGATCTCAAGATCGTGCGGAATCAATTCCAAGTAAGTGATTCTATACTATACCTTTGCTCGCGAGTGTATAACAGTTCGCAGGACAAACTAAATGAACAGTCCGTTCTGTACACGCAAGACTAATTCGAAAATCTTCAAGGTCTATGATATAATATTTAATTATCTATCTATCTTTTTGTACAATATATTATTTACTTCATGGATTTATATTATTTTGTTTAATTCCACTAAAGTTGTGGAAACTTGACTACCATTACGACCTTTTCTATTGGTGATCAAATTCTGACCGTTATTGAGTCTACACCCATATTGCGATACGTGTTTCGCCCTGATCTCATCATCAGGCGTTGAATAGAGTTCGGATATATGTAGCTTGGAAGCCTAGTGTTGACTTTTCGGCCGCCGAAAAGTCAACATTAGGTTTCCAAGCTATAAACAAAATAATATAAATTCATCAAGTAGTGAAATGGACTTTCGTAAAATAACACCTAATTCTATTAAATATATTATTTTATATTGTGTACGCTATGCTAATAGTATTCTCTCTCAGTCTACCTTTACCGATCTTTGTGTCGGCTTGCGATTCTCAGAGACTGTTTGTTAGCTGAACAGCATCTACCCTGCATAACGTGTGCATAAGTCCTACCTAATGCATTTAGGACAGTAAGTGGTAGTAGTAGACAGTAGGACTTAGTGAATAGATTGTAGATGGCATGGTTCATTCTAACATTACGATTATGGTATATGATTATGTCTACCGATATTTATGGAAGTTTACAATTAAAGTTATACACTGTTTACGTTTCGATTTTCCCATAATTGACCCACGTATTGTACGTTATATTTTATCGAAGAAATACTGTACAAATTTTAGTTTTTTTGTATTAATATATTTTCCCTACCGTCCAGGTCAGTATACAGATTCAATTGAGAAAAACTGGCAAGACATATAACTGAATTTCTTTTTTTTAAACCAGTTTATTTACATTGTACACACATACGTGTCTATGTCTAAACATTAAATGTTTTAAATTTATTTAAAGGTGCAATGATTATACATATACAGGGTGGGCCATTAAGTTAAGTGACCGGCTATTAATTGGAGATGGAATAGATATCCGCTATCCCAGCGATGTACGAGCGAGTTTTCACGATTTTGAGGTCCAGATTCGAGGAATGTGTACGTCTGGATGTTTCAAATTTCAGTGATGTTATTTTAAAAAAATGAAATTCCAAATTGTCTACATTGATTAAAATATAAATTCCCTTTTCTACGGTCTGTAGTTTTTTATTCTATGACTTTTTAAAATACGTTAACTTTATGGCTCTAAAATACAGGATTTTATAAGTACTGTAATTGTTCTTCCATACTTATCATATGGCATTACATTACCATGTTGTCATACTTTTCGCTATCTGCTTGATAAGATGTTAATAGACAAACAGATGTAATGATGTGGGTTTATTTGGCTCCATGTAGTAATAATTTACTAGTCATACTTGTAAATAAATGTAAAGTTTGTGTAAACACTTGTAATGTTTACATGTCTTGCCTAATTAGGAGTAAAGATATGTAAGTATTGAAATATATATATTCTTTATTTTTTTTTTATTCCATTTTCCGGGCGCGGTGGTCTGTCGGTTTAGCACACCGCTTTACTCGCGATGGCGAGTTCGATTCCTCGCTCGGTGCAAACATGTATATTCATAAGTATGATTGTTTATATCGGTCTGGGTGTTTTCTATGTATATTATGTATGTATTAGAAAAAAATATTTAAGTGTTTATATCACTTGTCTAGTAAAGCTAGCTCTACTTACCGCAGAACGAGATGGCGTTGTGTTTATTGTCTAGAGTTATTTATTTATTTACCTGTTATTTATATATTTTTAATTGTTATAGCAAAAGAAATAAAGTTTGAGGTATTGCGGCCGTGTGATAACAGTACTGTAGTAAACAGTATTTGTGATTTACTAATATTATATTAATTTTATTTACTAATATTCTAAAAGTCTAAGTTTCTTCGGTTAGATGTTTTTTGTTACACTTTGACGGGCAAAGGGGACGAAATTTGGTACTCTGATAGATCATAATTATTTTTAATTAACACTTAAGACACAATTAACATTTCGTGTATATTTATTTTGGTAAAGCCTGAGTGGTATCTCGGATGTCACATGATAACGTGATGTATATAGTGCTATTCATGTATATAGGCGACGGGTACTGCTTACCATCACCGGATGGTAAGCAGAAAAGTAAAGGTAAGGGTTGCCAGCCTGTTTGCCATTCTAATCACAAGTTCTATAAAATGTAATTTTGTTTGTGTTAAATTTTAAGTCTGCCTCTTAAACACACTCACCCCTCGATTTCCACGAACGGCTTGCTAAACCCGAAGTTATAACATATTCAATATAAAATTAATATTGAAAAACAATTAGAAGTTTGTAATATTAAAACCCGGGAGAAGTGCGGTCGCTAGTTTTTTCGATCTATTCTAGTGTTGTTGGTCGAAGTTGATCTTTACAGTTTCACCGAATACAAATAGGGATAAGTGTAGAGGGCACTCCATACCCTTAGAAGGACTTTTGATTTAGAGATACGACTTTAGTCTGAGGTTACCTCTAGGGGTTCGAATCTCGATAGCGAGGACGGGTCAAAGTAAACTAATCGCGTCACTAGTTTTTTTTTTATCTATTCTGATGTTGTTGATCGCACCTGAACTTTATAATTTGAGTAAATAAAAATAGTAGTGAGTGCGGAGGGCACTATATATTAGAAGGACTTATGGAATGTTTGTACAACTTGTGCGTGACGATACGACTTCAATCTAAGGGCACCGCTAGGGGTTCGAATCTCGGCAGCAAAGATGAGTTCGAACTAAAGAAAACGCTTTCGCATTTTTAGCTCGTTAGTTTTTTTTCTCAACTGACCTTTACAGCTTCACTGAATAAAAATAGGGGTAAGTGCAGAGGATCTACTTACAGAAAAACTTACGGAGCTGTTGTACAATTTTACCTGACGGATATGATTCTAGTCTGAGGTGACTAGAGGTTCAAACTAAAGTCTGTTAGTTAGGAGACCTAAATGATTTGAATTCAAAAAAATCTCCTCTCTGACGGTAATTCCTATACTATTTTCTATCTATATCTTCTACGTTCTTGTCCTAGAAGAATTTAAAGATCGCTACTGACGATATATTTTTTTTGTTTTTTTTTTTATTTATTTAACGAGATTTACACAGGTTTATATATGTATATATACAGTTATCGGGAAACTGCTTAACAGTTTGTTTGTTGGCATATAAAAAGACATTTTTTTTACAATTGTACTAATTTAAACTATAGTATAGAACTACTTTCTTGTTTGTTGACAGCGATGGCCGCAGGTGGTCGGTGGCGTCGCTGCCGTCCTCCGGCTACGGGACCACACCGGGCAGCTCTAGTTTATCAGTAAGTATTTTTTTTATACTACTATGGTGGCAAACAAGCATACGGCCCATCTGATGATAGATGGTTACCGTAGCCTCTAGACGCCTGAAACACCGGGGGTGTCACGTGCGCGTTGCTGAACCTAAGAATATAGGTAATAATAATACTGGACAATGCTCACAGCGCCATCTAGTCCCAAGCTAAGCAGTACTTGTACTATGGATACTAGCCAGCTTATATAATGGACGTAGCCATGGGCTCAGGGTGGGGCAGCACTCTAAAATATTATGTAACTAACAAACCTGCCGTCTTATCCCGATTATTATTTTATCATACAAAACGGTTACACATAATATATGTATATATAATTGGATTATTCAAGAAACTTTCATATTGCTCACCAATCTATACCATGAATTTACTGTCGAGCATTGTTTTCATACGGATGTTAAGTCCACCCCGACCGCACTTTTACACACACACGACACCGTCCTCGCTGGCGAAGACGACGACTTTAAACACACAATATCGCGCATGCAACCGGCGCCTGTGCGCGCGCGGGCGCTCCACACCGGCACCTCCGGGCGCCCTTCCGATCGATCCCCGTCCAATTCAAACGGGGATCGATATTACGACGGCCTGAGCCGAGGTTCGAACCGCTAGTGGTGCCCTCAGACTAAAGTCGTATCCGTCAGGCAGGAGTTGGCCTTCAGCCGCTCCATAAGTCCGCTTCCGCGGGTTTGGAGTGCCATCTGCACTCGCCCCCTAACGTCCGGTGAAGCTGTAAAGGCCAGCTGCGGCCAACAGCATAGAGTAGTCCGAAAAAAAGAAAAAAAATGGATGTTAATTGTCGTATTTAGTACTTAGATAAATTATTTTTTAGGTTAGGTTAGGTACCTTACAGGTCATGGCCAGGTTGGGATAATCCACCCACCCTGTCCCACCGTGGCTACGCCCATGGGTAATAGACCACTGGTATAAATATTATTAATATTATAAACGCGAGAATTTGTGAGTGTGGATGGATGTTTGTTACTCTTTCACGCAAAAATTACTAAACGGATTTTGATGAAAGTATACCGTAATAGAGCTTATACATCAGAATAACATTAGGGTATACATTTCACGCGGGTGAATCCGCGGGCTCAGCTAGTATTTGAATACATTTATATTATAGCTTATTTTGCTTTGTGTGAATTGTCCTGTTATTATTATTATTGTTTAGTCAGAACATTATCTTAATGATTAATCTGTGTTTATTATGTCATTCAAAATAATTTTACCAAACAACGATAAGTTATCTGTAATTATATCACAAGTACACAATCGGTCGGGTGAGATCATTATCAAATGATTACACGCTTTCTAAATGATTTTTTATATTTACTTTACTGATTATCCTTGTTTGTATGTATGAATCAATTGATAAGTTTGTGTGTGGTCATACAAATGACTTTGAAGTGCCATTGTACTTTGTATTGATATTAATGGATGGTAAATTGAATGGTGCACCCTCCTGCGCTAACGGTTTACGCTGACGGGGCATCAATGGTGGATGATAGGATGTGCCTGAATTTAGGCTATTTAGCCCATCGGGACATATTTACCAGGTGTTAACCACGACAGTGCGGGAAGAAGGGGATTGTTAGTAATGTGGATTGATAACCCCATTGCTAGCAATGTACCATGTCATGTCGACCTCCACGGGGTTCCCCCTGGAAACCATCGTGTTAAATTCCTTGTGAATTTGTCACGATGGGCTAACTGACCTGACCTCATTCTCATCTTATCATCCACCACTGGTGTCCCGCCAGCGTAAACCGTTAGCGCAGGCGGGTGCACCATTCCATTATCATCCACAAAAAAAAGAAAACCACGACAGTGTTCCTCTGAACACTGTCGTGGTTCGAGGATCGCATGGAGGCCGTTTAGGTTAAAATGATGTAATTTATTTTTACGGCGTGTGTAATCTAGCTTCATTCATACTATACTCTATTTAATAGGGAATTTAGTCTGGTGGTTTCTCCATTTACCTGCCACATCGTGGTTTAGCGGCCGGTGGAATCTGCCTAATCATACCTGGTCAATGACCCTTCCTGAAATTATTTCTTCGGCCCTTGCCAGTACTAGCGCCGCCACTGCCCGACACTAGGGGAAGGCCTATTTGATGGGGGTCTTTTGTCGCCATGTCACAATGTCGTCATTAGACTTCTGGGGTTTTTATAGAATAGTTCACCTCCATGAACCTCCCACGTTCTGGTAACGCTGTCGCTGTTTGGTTTGGGATTGCTTATTCAACCTTTTCGAAGCTGATGGCCGTTCACTATCCGCCGCCTGTGACTCCGTTGGTAGTCTATAGTACAACCCCAACTAAAATGGCAGTAGCCCCACCGACAAGACCGACAAAACGCAGCTTTGAAATTATGAAAGAATGAAATGAATGTAGTCTAGCGGTTTAATAGCGATGGTTGTGGGTTCGATTACTCGCACAGTACAAACATTTGTATTCGTGAGTATGACTGTTTGTATCTAACTTACGATTAAATAAATCTGTATCCCAGGTACATGACTAACCCAGTACAGCTGCTAACACTGTTTTAAAATTTGAGTTTGCACCTGTCAATTTAAATAAATAAATTTAGTCTTAGAGATTAAAAAACAAACTGTAGAGTATTGTATCTTCCAGATATTTTTAAAATGATCTGATATGCTTATTATGAAGTAGGTTTTTTTATTAATGAATCCTGTGTTGCAGTCACAATGCTCGTCCCAGGAGAGGCTGCTGGCGGTGCAGGCGACGTGCGAGCCACCACCACGCGCGCCCTGCCCCCACTGTCACCAGCACCAGAATTCGCTCAAGTAACTTGCAATTTTGCATTCTATTTCGAAAACCAGAAATACTATTATGGAATGGGGAAGGGTTCTTTAGATAATTAAACCACTAGTGGAGGGGATACAATGAGCATGAAGTCGGGTCAGTGAGACATTTTGGCAAATAGCAATTTACCACGATGGTTTCCGGGTGGAACCGCGTGGTTGGCTGACGTGGTGGCTGACATACATAGTAATGAGCTTATTAGGCTATATTACTAACAATTTCCTTCCCCTCCGTATATAGATCTATTGTGCTCGCCTTTGTTTTTGTTACTGAAGTAGTGTTGTAACTATTTTGTTGTGGTTGGTGTTTGCAGCAGCTCGCAGGGCAGCGGCATGAACAACTGGGCGTCGCTGTCGGACAGCGGCGGCAGCGGGCCCGCCGCGCGCGCGCCCTCCCCGCACAGCCCCGCGCGGCGGGTGCGCTCGCGCAGCCTCAGGTGATACCGACACTACATAACAATAACAATAACAATAACATGAACAACTGGGCGTCGCTGTCGGACAGCGGCGGCAGCGGGCCCGCCGCGCGCGCGCCCTCCCCGCACAGCCCCGCGCGGCGGGTGCGCTCGCGCAGCCTCAGGTGATACCGACACTACATAACAATAACAATAACAATAACAATAACATGAACAACTGGGCGTCGCTGTCGCAGCCTCAGGACAGCGAACAACTGGGCGTCGCTGTCGGACAGCGGCGGCAGCGCGCGCGCGCGCGCCCCTCCCCGCACAGCCCCGCGCGGCGGGTGCGCTCGCGCAGCCTCAGGTGATACCTACACTACATAACAATAACAATAACAATAACAATAACATGAACAACTGGGCGTCGCTGTCGGACAGCGGCGGCAGCGGGCCCGCCGCGCGCGCGCCCTCCCCGCACAGCCCCGCGCGGCGGGTGCGCTCGCGCAGCCTCAGGTGATACCTACACTACATAACAATAACAATAACAATAACAATAACATGAACAACTGGGCGTCGCTGTCGGACAGCGGCGGCAGCGGGCCCGCCGCGCGCGCGCCCTCCCCGCACAGCCCCGCGCGGCGGGTGCGCTCGCGCAGCCTCAGGTGATACCTACACTACATAACAATAACAATAACAATAACAATATAACATTTTCTACTAATAAACTGTAATAGTTATCTCACAATACTTATTGCAAAAGTCAAATGCATACAATATAGATGTTATTAGATACTCAATTACATTGATATTTTAAAATAACGGTTCATATTAGATACTACATTACTATAATCTTGCAGTACTGTATACTGTAAAACGTACAGACATCCACAAGTGTTGTAATATAGAGGTGTTGCGCCCGCAGTTCACCGTCTCGGTCCCCGGGGGGCGCGGGCGGAGAGGCTCGTGAGGACGCAGTGTCGGCCATGTCGGCGTTGTTCGCCGCCAGGTTCCCGGCCGCACAACGCGCCATGGACGACAAGTACGTGTCTCTACAAACAATTAAATTTTTTTATGGATGACAATGGAATGGTGCACTCGTCTGTGCTAACGGTTTAAGCCCATCGTGACAAATTCACCATGAAATTATCACTGGTGGTTTCCAGGGAGAACCACGTGCAGGTCATTCTAACTAACCTCATTGCTAGCAATAGGATCATCGGTCCACATTACTAACAATCCCCTTTCCCCGCAAATAATTACATTAGTATCCTCATTGTTGTAGTTTATTCATGTAATAAGAAAAAAGACTAATAAACGGAGAAAAATATATATTAATATAGACTACTGACAATTGAACAATTTTTTTTTACCTAGTATTTTTTCTTATTTCTACATGAATAAACTACAACACTCATGAATGTTTGTACATCAACAACAAGGCGTACGAGGCAATCTCCTTCCCTCCAGGTCAGGTCAGGTAGTCTATCATGATCAATACACCAGGCATTAACTGCAATGATTTCCTGATTGACCGCGTGGAGATATTGCTAACTATGGGGTTTTAATAGTCCCTATTACTACTAAGAATTTGCATCCTCCTGTTCTTGTACTCATCCTTTATAGGATAAATAGACCATAGGGGGTCAGCACTTTTATATTTAAACTATATTATAATATTAATAATTTATCCGGACAATTCACACAGGGCTATCTAGTCCCAAGCTAAGCAGTTTGTGTCATGAGTCACGACTGATACAAATACATGGATCCTTTTATTGTAAATGCATACATACGTATTAATATAATATACATAGAATCCTTTTGAGAACCATTGGGGACAACTGTGGTCCATTCTTGTCCCCATTACTATTCCCCACCCGTCTTTAACTCTTATTTATTCATCAAATATACTAAAATAAACATGTTTTGTACATTTTTTTTCAGATTACGATCTCTCATAGAGGAACTGACTGAATTAGATAAGAAACCAGACCGACCGCCGATAGAGAGATTCGTTCAAAGACAGGTAAAATTCACAGTATTATTTTTTCAACGACCATACGACTCGCCTGATATCGGCCATCGTATTCATGAATGCATTGCAAAAGGCATTAAGCGTGTGTCACCGCGTTTGTATTGTTAAAAAAACAAATACGGCAAATTAAGTTTATAAAAAATGTATTCATAGTAAAAAAAATAAAATGGTTGTTTAAAGTCATTGGGTACTTGGGTCACAAAACATATTTCAACACCACTATCCTCGGTCTCCTCGGTTTTCCAAACCTCTCCAGCAAAGCGGCTAAGTCGGTATGCAGTACCCATAACATATATGCTATGTTATGGGGTAGGTGGTTATATATATCAATGATTACGGCTTGAATGGTTCAAAATTATTATTCTTTATGTACATATTTATTAGACGTAGTTATTAGTTCAGAAAAAAATACAAGATGAAAGGATGAAAAAAAATCTTAATAGGGTTATTAGTTATATTTAAACTTTGGTGTTTAATATATATTATTTATGTCGTTAACCGAGTCTTAATTAGATCTATTTAAATAACGAAACCATTTGTTTTTTATATACTGTAACGGAAATCTTCGTTATTTAAATATATCTTAATAATTAATATTTTAACTATAAATATACAATGTAACCTGTACAAACAATCAGACTCATGAATACAAATGTTTGTCCACTGTTTCTCATGTATACACTACTGTATTTACTTTAGGATCTTTCATAAAATACAAAACAAAGTAACCGTGATTACTGACTGCCAAAATTAAAATAACATTGTAGAATTTCCTTTTTCCCTTTTTTATGAAAAGATATTGCTGGCTACCTATTAGAAAAGTTATACTAGATATTTTGTTTTTTTTAAGGTATTGGAGATGGCACGTGACTGTTTGCATAAATCGGAATCGAAGCAGGTGACCAGCAGCTACTTTTATGATATGGCTGATAGTCTGGACCGGTTATTGGCAGAAGTGAGTATATCATTTCATATATAAATACTAGTAGACCCGGCCACGTGTTGCTGTGACTAAGATTCTTGAATAAAATATTGCGACTATAAATTGAGATGTAAGCTATCCTATCTTTTAAATTGCAAACAATGTGCAAATCAAATTTGCAATCGGTTCAGTAGTTTAGGAGACCATCGCGGACAAACAACGTTACACGTAATCTATCTAAATATATATTAATCAAAGGTGACTGACGTAGTGATCTATCAACGCACAGGCCAAACCACTGGACGGATCGGGCTGAAATTTGGCATGCACGTAGATGTTATGATGTAAGCATCCGCTAAGAAAGGATTTTGATTAATTCTACCCCCAAGGGGATAAAATAAATGAAAGTTTATATGAAACTTTGTCAATTTTAAACCGATCGGTCTGAGACTTTGCATGCATAAAGCTAGTATGACATATGCACCCCCTAAGAAAGGATTTTGATAAATTCCACCCCTAAGGGGATAAATTAACGCGAGCGAAGCCGCGGGCAAAAGCTAGTTTTTATATATAAAAATAACGACACGACTGCTATCCCACATGGGGTAGGCAGAGGCATTGTCTACAGTTGATATCTGGTGAACGCAACACTTGGCATGACTATATTCCTCTCGCAGTCTGTTAGAATAGTTTTTTGTTTTATCATTTTGGTGTCGGTCAGATTTGAACTCACGACCCTACATTTTAGGCTTATACATTCTCATATTATATTAATGTTTGTAATAACAACCTGGGTGATTTGGCAGTTTAAAATTGTCCACCTTATTTCCGATGGTCGCGGATTCTATCCGGAGAAGTGAAGGGGGGATGGCTATCCAGATTGGGAGGTTGTGGTGAGGAGGGTCGAGATGACGGGGTGGAGTTGGGGGTGAGAGAGTCCCAGAGGGGTGGTGTTGCCATTGGCACGCACGAGTAACGGGGACCGTTGGGGCTGCAGACGCGCGAGAAGTCAGCGGAAGCTGGCGCGCGCGTGGCGCCGCTGGTGACGCGGCTGGTGCTGGGCATGGCGCGGCCGGCACGACTGCTCGAGTGTCTGGAGTTCGATCCCGAGCGGTTCTACCGGCTGCTGGAGGCCGCCGAGGGCCAGGCGCGGCACATACAGGTGCCCCATACATACATATATATATAATACGTTTATTTCCTTTGTGTTTATAACTGAACAACTTATAAATGGGTAAACCTGTTTATAAGTTTCCGATTTTGATTAAATTTTGTGTGTATGTTTTAATAGTTGGTTTAAGAACAGTTTTGGAGAAAGTTCACTTAATTGCCTTTTAAAACTAATGATTTGAAATTATAATTAAAATTGACGTGGTTTTTGTACAGAGTTTAGTTAATAATAGTATTTATTTTAATTCTAATGTAAAATAAAATAGACGAGAAAGTAGGTTACATTACACTATAAAAAACTTAGTTTTTTTTTTAAATTATCAAACATATTACTAAATGAATGGTTGAATTGATTATATTGAAGACGTAATTTGAGTCTTATTACGTAGGGCATAACGACGGACATCCCGCAGTACATCATCCACAAGCTGGGGCTATCACGGGATCCGCTGGCGGAGTTACACGCACCGCCTCCACCGCCACCGCCGCAGAATTCATCTCCTTCCAAGTATGTGTCTCAGGGAAAATGTGGAAGCATGAGCTTGGGTCACTCATACATTTTGATGATCCGAGGGTTTTTTAGCGTTCTTTAGTACGTAATAGGTGCAGATGTCCATTCATTCATAAGTTAAGAGCTGCACAAGAAATACTTAAATTACGAATGAATGACGATGTAGCTCTTCTTGTTTTTCTTTCTTTCTTTGTTTCCTTCTTTCTTTCTTTCTTTCTTTCTTCATTTCCCAAGATATTCCATTAATCTCTATAGTTGTTGATACGACGACAGGACTTCAACTTTTTCCTTGATCTATTGATGCAAGTCTTATAACTTAGCATTCGTTTGCTGAGTGTGCTGATTCTTTACCAGAAGAAAATAGATAGATAGATAGATAAGAATTTTTATTTGTATCTTAGTACACACATATAGGCTCAATTACAATTATTAGTATACAATATAGAGAACTTAAACCAATACAATAGAATTAAATGGCTAATAACTCAGTGTGGAGAATCACTCAAGGAACAAAACACTTATTTTCAGCTATATCCCCGAGGGTGAATGAATTATTAAAAAAAAAAACAGTAATAAATAAAATAAAACAAATGAATTTTATAAATACTGAGCTACTATACTGTAATTAGAGATATATAGATTGTATATATAGGTATGAAGATTTGTTTTCGAAATATATAGTACTGAAGAGACGTAATATATAATATGTAAATGCGTGCTCAGATCTCGGGGTCGCGCGAGTCCCCCTGGGGGCGCGGGGGGTGCTCCCCCCTCCGAGAACGACTACCACGTGATCAAGCTCATCTCCAACGGGGCCTACGGCGCCGTGTACCTCGTCAAGCACAAGCAAACTCGACAGAGGTGAGTGTTTTTTATGTAACAGAAGTGACAAATCAGTTGATGGTATTTTTTTTTATGAAATCAAATCAAAATATCTTTATATCTATAAATATCTTTTTCATGTAGGTCTATTACAGACTCTTATGATTTGTCAAATCTACCGTCAATTTGGACTGCTCACAGAACTGACAAGAAACGATGATTTACTACGATGGTGGCATGCAAGCATACGGCCCATCTGATGGTAAATTATTACCGTAGTCTATGGACGCCTGAGACACAATGAATGTTACGTACGCGTTGCCAACCCTTAAGAAACCTTAATATATCCTTCTTTAAAACCCCATGCAAAGAAAATTTCGGCAGGGAGGTCATTCCACAATCTAAGTGTACGCGGGAGGGAGTGAAAGTTGTAATAAATTTGTTTGTATATATTTGTGTTGCAGGTATGCGATGAAGAAGATAAGCAAAAATAACTTGATACTGAGGAATCAGGTTGAACAAGCATTTGCTGAAAGGGACATACTCAGTTTCGCTGATAATCCTTTTGTGGTAAGTTGGCACATATTTTTTAACCTATTTTTAATTATATTTTTTTCTAAGAGACGGTACTAGTTTACTAGTAATACTGTTTTTTTAAACCTACTTGTTCATTAGTTTTAATAGGTTTCCTCGAGGCTGTCTTGAAAAGAAACTATTACTGATTATTACTAAAAATAATGCCGTTATATATGTGTGACATAATATATTATTTGTGTTTTCCTTTAAACTATATTATATATATCTATCTAATAATATATATACTGTCATGATTGATATCCCAAATTGAGTAGACAGAGGTATTTTTTTAATGGATAATAGTATAGCGTTCGAGTGGGCCGGTCACGTAGCGTCTATGAACGATAATAACTGCGAAAAGAAGGTTACTAGTTGGTCGGAACCGATTAATAAAGGACCAAACAAAAGGTGGGTAGAAGAGATAAAATAGTCGGTAAGGACTGCAGACGAGATTGTAAAATAGATGTTGAGAGGTGGACAGCAGAAGCGACTCGCAGACACCGTTGGAGCGAATCGGAGGAAGCGTATACTGACAGCGCAGATGAGAGCGCGTCGAGAGAGGTGTGAACGGCAGGATGATGTGGTCGATGTGAGTCCGCGGCTGGTCGTGTGCAGGTGTCGATGTACTGCTCGCTGGAGACGCGGCGGCACCTGTGCCTGATCCTGGAGCTGGTGGAGGGCGGCGACTGCGCGGCGCTGCTGCGGGCCGGGCCGCTGCCGGCCGACATGGCGCGGCACTACTTCGCGGAGGCGGTGCTCGCCGTCGAGTACCTGCACTCCTACGGCATCGTGCACAGGGACCTCAAGCCCGACAAGTCAGTACGCACACCTCACGACGACTCCGTTTATTTTGTAACTGTGGTCTGTTTTTTGAACTCGGAGACTAAATTGACAGGTGTAAATGTCACGGGTAGTACTGTACCTGCGATACTGATTTGACATCAGATTTTTATGTAATTTCCACAACATAGTTTCAAATAATATATAAATACAATTTTTGTTTATGGAATAATTATAAAATAATTGAAAAATTACTAATTTTGGGAATTCGACTATAAAAGTATATCGTTAAACTTGATTTTTCAATCTCTTTCTCTTTGAGTTAATGCAGTTTATTAGTAATTGTATAATATGTTTGTTTATTTTGCACACAGCCTGCTCATCACGGCAACTGGCCACATAAAGCTGACTGACTTTGGACTCAGCAAGATGGGTCTCATGTCATGTGAGTCATACTTTATTTTCCTGATCTTCATCCATACTTATACGGTTTTATTGCTTCGTGTTTCGATACAAGAAGTTCAATGTTTTATATCTTTTTGACAGTTGTTATTATATAAATGAGTGGACGCCACTACGCATCTTATGTGGGTGTAGCCTAATCATACATAAACAAAATTTCTGCTTTGGCAAGCATATATTGTACCCTCAAGGGAAAAAAACACACCGGTCCTTAGAATATCAGTATAGTATTAGCGATGCCTTGAGACTCAAGTCGTATCCATCAGGCGGGAGTTGGCCTTCAGCCGATTCATAAGTCCTTCCTTTGGTTTGGAGTGCCATCTGCACTCGCCTTTTATCGTCCGCTGAAGCTGTAAGGACCAGCTGCAGCCAACAGTATTTCATTATATTAACAGTATAGTAGCTGTCCGAAAAAAAATTGCTAGGTGTACATATGTACTTTTTTTCGTACTCTTGGTACTGTTTGGTTGACGTATACGTAATGTGTGTACAGTGGCAACGAATCTATACGAGGAGTACGCAGACCGCGAGGCGCGGCAGTTCTCTGATAAGCAGGTCTGCGGCACACCCGAGTACATCGCGCCGGAGGTCATACTCAGGCAGGTCAGTGCAATTTTTTTATGACTTTTAAATAATAATATTATTATTATTGGGAGGGTTTAGGCTATTGTTTATTATCCAAGGTCCTGGCTTGGATAATCTTATTAATATTACAAACGCGTAAGTTTGTTAGTATGGATGGATGTTTGTTACTGTTTCACGCAAAAAGTACTGAACGGATTTTGATGAAACATTACTTTGTTGGCCCCGGTGGTCTAGCGGTTTAGCATTCCGTTTTCGTGCTGAAGGTCGCGGGTTCGATTCCTCACACGGCACAAACATTTGTATTCATGAGTATGACTGTTTGTACCGATCTGTGTGTTTTCTATGTATATTAAATATGTATTTACCAAAAAAAGTGTATCTAATAGTTGTCTAGTACCTATAATACAAGCTCTGCTTAACTTGGGACTAGATGGCGCTGTGTGAATTGTCCTGAAATATTATATATACTAGCTGACGCAACTTCGTCTGCGTCACACTTACATGACATTAATCATTATATTTCGCCCAATTTACATAATATCGTTTTTATTTATAGCCTATGTGTTGTTCTGATGTATAAGCTATATTACTATAAAGTTTCATCACAATCCGTTCATTAGTTTTTGTATGAAAGAGTGATAAACATCCATCCATACTCACAAACTTTCGCGTTTATAATATTAGTAAGTTATTATAAAAAAATTGGTATTTAAACAATTTATGTATCTATTATGGGCAGGGTTACGGCAAGCCAGTGGACTGGTGGTCCATGGGTATCATCCTGTACGAGTTCCTATATTATAAAAAAATTGGTGATTAAACAATTTATGAATCTATTATGTGTAGGGTTACGGCAAGCCAGTGGACTGGTGGTCCATGGGTATTCGCGCATACGGTCAACGGTGAAAAAAATTGGTGATTAAACAATTTATGTATTATGGGCAGTTGTTCCGGCAAGCCAGACTGGTGGTCCATGGGTATCATCCTGTACATTTTTGAACAAAATAATTGTAAGTATATGCTGTATTGACCTTTATTTGAAACTACCATTCAATAGGGATGATTTATTAAAAAAATATACTAAGAATATAAAACTATATTACATAGCGCCATCTGATTTACTTAGTACATCTATGACGCTGTGTGAATTGACATGTTACATTTAAACTATTTAAACACCTATATTATATAAAAAATATTTGAACAATTTATGTATCTATTATGGGCAGGGTTACGGCATCCAGTACTTTCCATGGGTATCATCCTGTACGATTATATTGGCATGCAGATGACATCTTCGGTGATACCGTCCGAGGAATTATTCGCGCATACGGTCAACGGTGAGTGTTATTTATTAACTAGCTGTTCCTCGCGACTTCGACCGCTGGAATTTAACTTTCATTTTCTGAAATAAAATAATTGTAAGTAGTATATGCAGTAGATCTTTATTTAGTTTCTATCAGGTGTTTATTACCCATAATATACCTAATAATATACCTATATTACAAGCTCTGATTTACTTAGTACTAGATGACGCTGTGTGAATTGACCTGGATGTTAATTTAAGTATTATTTTATTCCAATTACATAAAAAATATTTGAACAGTTGGCAACCCTATTTTTTGTCATTGTACTATTATATTGCATCAGATGACATCGAGTGGCCGTCAGAGGAAGACTTCCCAATAGCGGTGGAGGCGAGGGCCATCATCACGGAGCTGCTGGCGCGGAACCCTCGCGACCGGCTCGGCACAGGCGGTACACACCAAGTCAAGGTCATTATAATCATCAGAATCACTAGTTACGATGATTACCTAGGTTTTGATGCCATCTACCAGTAGAGAAACCTCAAGTAGCGCCCGTGACTTGTGATACGGGCGTAGGATTAAAGGTCTCTTTTACAAATTGAATGGTCTGACGGGCGCCACGTGACAAGTAATGTTCATGTATATATATAGACGACGGTTATCAGTTTGTTTGTCATTTCATCACATATTAATATAGTTTAGTTGTTTAACAGACATAACGATCAATCAGTTGGAGTTAATTTAGATTGTATTAAGTCAATAATACGTCTCAAAGTAGGCTGGGTGGTTTCTTGAAACAATTCAATTTCTGAACAGGAACACGTATATTTCTGCGGTCTCGACTGGAACAATCTATTGCGAAGGAAGGCAGAGTTCATACCGCAGCTGGAGAATGACGAAGACACCAGTTACTTTGACAGTGAGTTTTTTTATTATTATTAAGTTATTGAAAGAGTGATATTCGTATGTAACATACCCAGCACTCTCTCTTGTTTGTAGAGTCAATACCACTCAATTATCGCGCCAAAAATCTTTAGGGATCTTCAGGTCCCGGCGGTTGAATTCGCGCAAGTATATGAAATGATAGAGCTGTGAGATTACATCCTAAGAGCATCCTGTAGATGTTTGCTTTAACTGACTGACTTTACCGAGATAGACTTTGTATAAACTTATTTGCGTGGGTAACCTCAATCTTTTCCACTTAAGTTTGCCTTTATACAGCTCGACTCGCAAGCTGTGTTCCGGTTTGAATAGTGAGAGAACAAGTCCATCATTGCATACCCCGCATGATGATAAAGTAGTGTTCTGAGTATCTCGATGAATGACAGTCTCCCATCGTACATTTTTGCAAACACATTTTGCCACGCACGACCATATTGTGGAATGACATACCAGAAATAGTTTTTCAGAACCAATAAGTTTTAAGAAATGAAAAGAGCTTATGTTTTTTAAAAGTGCGGCAACTCACTTGCATTTCCCTCTAGTTCTCCGGGTGCTCATGGTTGTCGGTAATCACTTATCATCAGGTGTGTCGCAAGCACTTACACTCATATCTCAAATATAAAATATATAACCACGTTTTGACGGCCTCACTGGTCTAGCGGTTTAGCACACAGCCTTATTTCAGACGCTCGCAGGTTCAATTCGTCGCACATAAAAAATATCCAGATCGATAATATCCTACTCATGAATACAAATGTTTGACCCCTTCGCGGAATCGTACCTGTGACCATCAGAAGTAAGGGGGTGTGCAAAATCTCTCGACTAGGCCGTCGTCAATCGGAATAGAAATGTTGAGGGTTGTATATTCATCCCTACAGGTCGTTGCGACCGATACAACCACAGCGAGGTGGACACGGACGAGGCGGCGGAGGGCGGGGAGGGCGCGGAGGACGCGGTGTTCGCCGCCTTCTCCAGCACCTCGCCGCAGTGGCGCAGGCACTACCACCACTCGCACTCACACTCACACTCACACTCGCACTCCCACTCCCACTCACACTCACACTCGCAGTCCGCCGTCTCACATGACTCCAGGGTGAGTATTAGTTATATTTGCTTTGTTATTGACCAGAGTGCAAGGCGCAGTGTGATCTTAGAGATCAGATTTGTGCTGTTCGTAACGATACTCTTTCGAAACGGCTTGACAAATCGAGACCAGAATTTCGGTCAAGGTTTTTAATAATAAACGCGCTCCGCTTAACGTGTGACCTGGTGTGTAAACAAAACACCGGTAACAAACCTATTTATTATACCGATGACTTGAGCTGATTAATTGTTCCAAATAACGACTACTCATTTCAACTTGTAGAGTTACAACAAAATTATTTAAAAGAGCAGCATTCCAATTTAATGCTCGTTCTTCTTGTGTAGAGCTTTTCAAATGAACGGTACATTAAAAAATAAGGATGACTATTCAAAAGTTCTCAAATATGAGTTTATTTGAATAAATGTATTTTAAAACTGATTCTTCTAAATTTCTTTAATTTTGCGTGCGTTCATATTATGGTATATTTGTAAATTACTGTAAAAATGTTTGTTTATTTTTTTAAAAGATTTTGTTTAATAAAAAGTATATATATATATATATATATTAATATACAAGTTTTTTTGGCAGAGCACGGACAGCTGGCCCGGCACTCCTGACAGCGCTGGCCCACCCACTACACCCACTGCACCACCGCATCATCATCATCCCAAGTGTCCAGTAAGTTCACCATTTACATCGTCATACTAGAGAAATATGTATTTCTACTAATATTCCTCTTACTTTATGCATAACGTTATTTATTTATGTACACTGGGTATTTTAGTATCTTGTACCATTCAAATTTTGTATTATTTGATAGCTTACTAAATTTAGTAGATATTGTGTATATACATAAATAAATAAAAAATACTATTACCAGTTTACACTGTAATTTGATAGCATGTAATGTATAGGAATGAAGATAATATTTTGAAGAAAGTGTTATATAATGTGGATGGTTAAACGGCATGGCAGAGGAAGGCCTAGAAAGAGACGGATGGACTGTGTGAAAGGTGTTACGGTAAAAAAGAGAGTAAATTGTGAGAGAGATGAATGGAAGAAAATACATATTATGCTAACCAACAAATAAATGAGATAAGGAAGAAGTAAAGATGACGATTGTAATTTAATAGCATCGAAATGAGGCTAAATATTTTAAACATTGGTAGGACGGTAGTAAATAATGATTGCATTACGCCCGTCGTGCCGTGCAGGTGACGGTTGAAATCTTTGTTGTGGTATAACGTTTGTGTGCGGCCCAGATGGTGGGCGGCGGCGCGTCGACGGCGGAGTCGTCGCAGACGGACTCGGACGACGTGTCGCCCGCGTGCCGCCGCCGCGCGCCGCTGCGGCCCGCGCACGTGTCGCTCGGCTCGCTCGGGTCCCTCGGGTCCCTCGGGTCCCTCGGGTCGTTGGCCTCGCTCTCTCACTCGCTGCTCACGCACCACCACCCGCCGCCGTCCACCGCGCTCGCGCTCCTGCCCAGGACGTACGTACTACCACTCATCTCTATATTTTGTACTATTCCGTCCTAGACCCACCCATCCGGGATGGGTGGATTTAGCGGGACGGTAGGACGGTAGGACTTTGTACAGGCGACTATTATAAAGTTGTTAATTTTTTGTGAAAATGAAATACTGTTCTGTTACTCGCAGATCCTGTATTTTTTTTTATTAGCTCATTAAATTGGAACGAAAAAATGTAATCGTTGCACTCGATAAAATTAGTTTAATTTTTTTAGTACTATAATTTTTTTATTATAGATATTTTTTGGTTTTACTACTTTAATACAAACACAAATTTACTCATACAAAATCTTTGGAATATTTGCAGGCAAAATCTGAATGTCCTTCTCTACAAATATTTCCATGACAAAAAACTCTAAATCATTTATTCACTTAAAATGTTTCGGCCTCTTGTGTACCTTATTTTTATCTCTATCCCTACCATCCAGCACGATTAGCTGCTTGAGGTGTCAAAAATTTTGTGATTAATATTTTGTTATATTATAAACAGATCAGAGTTAAAGAAAGAAGAGCGCAGCATAGAGAAGCCGGATAAGCCTGAAAAGACGAAGCCCGCATTTATTGCGCCGAAATCGATGCGACGCTCGGCCAGCACATCTGGTCTTTCTCTTGTCATACATCCAGGTAACATACATAACATATGAATAATATATATTTAAGTGTGTAGGCATAATATACATATATGTATGTATATTATAATGTAATAGACCTGCCTGGTTCCCCACTAACATGCTGTCTACCTTCATGTCCATCATTACTTGCCGAACGGTATGATGTATCGGTGCTACCGAAGCAGATTGTCGTCATCAGTCACCAAATGCACAATTTATATTAATATTATTATTTCATATTTACATAAATCTATAAGGTATTTATAATATGGGTCATTAGTAGCCTAAATAAAATAAATATTTCGTGATTGCAGCGGAGGAGAGCGTAGGGTCGGCCGGATCGCCGTGTGCAGGCAACACCTCGTCGACCAACTCGTCGCGCGACTCGTCGCCCTGCCGGGACCCGCCCTCGCCCTTCGCGCTCGCCAACCACTCGTGAGTATCGTTACTAACACCGACTCGTCGCCCTGTTTCAGTATAACTTGAGATAAAAAAAGCCCTTCGCGCTCGCCAAAAGACTCGTCAGATCGTTACTAACACCGACTTTTCGCCCTGCCGGTCTTTGTAGCTCAAACTTTAAATCGAACTAACGGTAGATTTCACATAATAATAATAATATAGTAATCCTGATCAATTTATACAGCATCATTTAGTCTCAAACTAAGATCATCATTATGTATGTAAATTGTTGTTTTTTTATGTCATAATTGTTGTGTCAATATGAGCCAGTAATATTTTAATTGTTATAAAGATAGAACAGGTATCCTTATGTACAGCAATAACAAAAGTGCCTGGAAGAGATCTACATAATTAAAGAGATTTTATATAATATAGATGTATTTGTTGTTCGTTGATCTAACACCGACTCGTCGCCCGGTCCGCGCGGGACGGGTTCACGATCCACACGCCGCGTGTCGCGCTCAGCCAACCACTCGTGAGTATCGTTACTAACACCGACTCGTCGGCCTGTTTCAAGTCCTAATTTGAGATAAAAAAAAAAGTTTTACATTACACATTACAAAAATTAAAGTAAAGTCCCCCATCTCAGTGTTACACATTACTTTTATTTATTTATTGATTCATTCATTTGTAAAATAAACAAACTTATAAATCGAGCACTAACGGTAGATTTCACAGAAAATAATAATATAATAATCAGATCAATTTGTACAATATATTTCAAATATTCAAGACATCATAATAAATTTTTATGTAGTTTTTTTTTTTATTGTCACACATTGTTGTGTCAATATGAGTTTAGAGTAATATTTTAAAAAGAGATTGTTATAAAGAAAAAATATAACAGGTATCCTTATGTACAGCAATAACATAATGCCTGGAAAAAAAAAGAGATCTAAGATATTAATGTATATAATAATATATAATATAGAATGTAGATAAATATATAAATATAGAATCTGATCCAGTCGTCTTCTTGTGATGAGTCTGCGTTCCGGTCCGCGCGGAATCGGGTATGACTATTCAAAAGTGCGCGTGTATTACGGCGATTTTTTCTACATATTGATTTGAATGATCATTTATTATTTAAAAGCTGGTCTCCGTATGTACTTTGAATGTTTGTATACTAAACTCACCGCCACTCACTAAATATGTTGTACGGCTCTGGATACAAGTCCTTTTTACCCCAACTTAACAAGTACACTAACTCGAAGTTTTACATTACACAATTTTAACCTAAATTTTTCCCATTAACGTGTTACCCATTACTTTTATTTATTTATTAAATATTTTTCATTTTAAAATGTCAGAAACGCTATTCGTTTTATTTATTGATTCATTCATTTGTAAAATAAACAAAATATGATTATAAGAGCACTAAGGACTCTGATGGGCGCAGAAAGATAAAGGCGAAAACAGACTAGTTATTTACAATATATTTCAAATATTCACTGACATTATAATAACACTTTTTTAAGTAGTTTTTTAATTGTACACACAGGTAAGAATAACAGTAACCATGTATAGTAGTTTAGAGGTAAGCTACCTCTAAAAAGAGATTTCTCCTAGCAAACCTAGAAAAAATATAGAAGAATTCGTTCTCTGTGAGTTCAGCCATACATATATGTATGAGAAAAAAAGAAAATGTGAGATCAAGATATATTATGGTGATATGTAATGTATGTACTGCATTCTGAATGAGTGGTAGAATAAAAAAATATGATTATCCAAAAGTGCTTGTATTGAGTTTGTTTGAATTAATATTTTTTCTCTTTATATTTTTATTTGAATTATTGTTTATTATAAAAAAGCTGGTGGTTTTGTGTCCTGTTTGTTTTATTGAATGTTTTTGCATTTTGTTTTTTATTTTTTATACAAGGCGAGCGATACATATATATAATGTAAAAGATTTCATCACGCAGCTTATATAAGAGTCCGTAATGTGACTGCTGCACACGCAGGTTCATGTATGATTCTCATTAACGATTTTAACCAAGCAGTTAAAAATGCATTTTTCGTTATTAACGGTTAATTAACCGCATTTTATGCTCGGTGCTTACAATAGATAAAGCCCAAAAACCGATTGACTACAAACGGAAGACTCCAAATACATGCCCTTCTCAATTCTTATTACACCTGATTGGACTATTATAATGGACACGTATAAAAAGCATTATAAAATCCCAGAGGGTGTAGTATGAATGTAGGAGCTTCGTCATTCAGACCAAATATATTCTTACATTATTTAAATTATTAACCGGGTCTTAACACGAATAATTTTATGGCAAATAAAGGTATTTACTACTATATACTATACACTGTCTGACTCAGTCAGCTCGTGACCACGGCTAGTGCAACCTAGTCGAAACGTCGAGAGAGGTAAATACCTTTATTTGCCATAAAATTATTCGTGTTAAGACCCGGTTAATAATTTAAATAATGTATATTAAACACGAAAGTTTAAAATTAAATATATTCTTATATTGGAAAAAATAAAAAGACAGATTTACTCTTTACTTTTCTCGTAGTGAGATAATTAACCGTTAATAACTGCATTTTATCTGTAGCTAACCATAAATTTGGTTAAATAACGGTAGCTAATGGGTTTTTTACAATTATAAGTACGCGCCTGTAGTTGTTTATTTTTTTATGTCACCACGTGATGTGCTACTATATACAATAGTACGTTGAGTTACTACAGACGAGAGAGAGATAGTGATACAACGATGCACGTGATGGTACACGTCGTAAATTCACACGAACACCAAATAACGTCCGATTTACCGCTCATAGTTAAGTCATTCCAAGCATGTTTCATTAATTTTTTCTCTTAATGAGTCACTACTTAAATTTTTACTCATTTAATTGGGAAGTTGTAGTATGTGTATGTATGTTTTTGTAATATAGAAACCATCTCTTTAAAGATGTAATGGCTCTTATCGTGTAATTTTACTGCCTTATGTCACTCTTCAACCGAAACATGTTATAAAGCAAGAGGTACTTACGCAGACGCCTTTCAATGTCTATATGTGTAGAAATTAATATTTTGAACAGTCTACTATTAATGATTAATTAAAAAATACTCAAAATGATGAATTAATTAAGATTGAACACTTTATTGTTAATAAAATGATTAATTACAACGTAGGAGCACACGACAGAACCAAGACAAAACCAACGTCGAAACAGACTTTGTCATCATTGCCATATTCAAAAATAGTAATTAATATTGCCAGTAGAAGTACAAACACATTGACACTACCGTCACAATCTGCTCCCTGTCTCTATATGCTGAGAATTTCATCTAAACTGCGTGGCAACATATACTTCTGCTGCCGTGGAATACATTAGTTTGGATTCAAAATAAAAGTTGTTATTTCAGCTCAAAACTTAAATTTTAATATAGCTGTATACTGCAGTATAGCTTGCGTGGATTGCAACCTATGTGAATTTGTGAAAACCTTACATTCTATACTATAAAGGATTTTCACAGGTCTAAGATATCTCTTATGTACTATGAATGGAAGGTTCTGCTATTCATATATATTGCGTGTTCTGGTGTGGTGTCATCAGCTTTACCAAATAATAACACATTTATATTTTATCACAATTGTGATACGACAATACGGGAGTACATCGTATATCTGACTGGGGAGGGACGTGTAGTAGGTGCGCTGTGCAACGCGATGTAATTCAATCTCTGTATTAACAATTTAATCAATTTTATAATCTATCCATATTGATTGAGTTTATTCGATGCAAATAAATGAGTTAATATTTCTTTGACAATATTGTTGTTTGTCGTAGGTGTTGCGGTTACTGCTGGCGGCCCCGCATGCGACGCTACGGGCTACACCTTTGGACCAGACTACCATACAGGTATAGTTGCCTTCACTATTACACTCACTCACATTATCTGCCTTCAGACGACACGTTCTGTGCGTACGATAGCGCGGAAAGCCAGCGCGCGTAATAGTGAGGGATTGCACTTTACTGTTTCATCTTTTGCGCGTTTTTCCATTTTACTTTTAAATTATTGTTTTTTATTCTACACATTTCAGTTTCTAAAGATATGATTCTGATTTGTAAATTATTGTAAACTCTATAATTATATCTTTGCTTCAAAGTCAGATGTGCGCTATTTTGTAATGATAATTATTGATTAATTATATTTTATTTAATGATAAATATTTACAAAAAGGCACGCACGATTGAAGAACGCGGGAATGTGCTATTCGTTGTTTTTATCTACATTTATTACAACATGTTTGCATTTATGTAGCGACGATCTCGGCCGACAGGTAGCGCACTGGCGTTACTAGGACTAGTGCTATTAGAGTGAATTACTTAAATCGCAGCCTTAGGACTAAATTTATTTAAAAATTACAATATATTAAAGTTACTTACTACTTATAATAAGAAGTGACTCTATCGAGGCAAGAATAGAAGTGGCGGACATTTCGCAACCGCGAAGTCATGTCGTCGGCGCTGGTGCACGTTCCGCTGCATCAGCGTCGGAGTATTGCGTTTGGTTAACACCAAAGTTCATGTAGAATCTAGGTCGCTCTTCATCAGCGATTATTATTACTTACTATTAATATTACTATTAATGATTATTATTACTTGTCATAGACACCTTAATAGGTGTCTATGACAAGTAATAATAATCATTTATTCAGCATAAAAAAGAGTATAGAGTAGAAAAGGAAACTTAAAAACTAATAATTCGCTATGCTGAAAGGGCTTCCACTCAGCTGGTGCCGCATCACTACAGCGCTGATTTTCAGTGGAGCCACTTAAAAAAAAGAAATAGCATTCGTGATGAATTTAAATATCTAAAATGAAGAATCAGTTAAATGGATGAATTATAAGTATGTGTGATAAATAGAAGGAAAATATATAAGGATAAAAAAGTGATAGAAAGACTTTTGTGTAATATATACTATATTACACAAAAGTCTCTAACAACATCCTGAATATATTTATTTATTTAATCAATATATATGTATATATATAAGTACTGTATTTATCTGCCACGTTTAAGAGTTTAGTACTTTGAGTAACAAGTGTGTGTGAGCGGTATAGTAATGGTCCCCCCCCCCCCCTGCAGGCGGGCGGGCGGCGCCGCGCGGGGGGCGGGCGGCGCGCGGCGGCGCCCCCGCGCCCGCGGCCGCGTCGCCGCTGCTCTCTGTTCCGGCGGATCTCCACCAAGCGAGCCTCGCAGGAGATGCACCAGGTCAGGACGCCACCCTCTTAATAGTATCGACAAAGCTTACCGACCGACCCGTCGGAGCGTCGTCGGAGGCACGAGGTCAGAGGCTAAATCTTCTTGTGTTTCCTGTATTCGTATTCTGTAAGCGTTTTAGAGGCCGTTCGAGTATTACGTAAGCAGATTTATTACAATTATTTACCCTACAAAGAGGATGCCTTTGTCAGCAAAAATAAGCAAAGCTCTTACCCTCCCCATGCTTATGTAAACATTTTTCAATTATATTGTTTTTTTGTCAACAAAGACAATGTAAGGGTTGCTATTTGTGTAAAAAAGTAAATAATTACCAATGACGTAATCGTCATCTAGACTCCCCTAACCCCTTGTCGTCCAAAATAAGCAAAGTAAAGAAATAGTGCTTACGTAATACTTGAACGGCCTCTTATTGACTCGACACACACGTATCCACTTGTCAAATATAAAGTTCCTACCGAGATATCGAATTTGCCTATACTTAAAAAAAAATCACTATACTATATGCGCTGTAGCATGGTACGGGTGACAGTTGCCTGTATTTGTAGACTAGAACACTCTGGTTGAATTAGTCACGACAGTTATAAATTATTTAATGTATTACGAATGGGGTATATCTGAAATACTAAGTCATTATTTATAAATCACGGCAACTTTCAAGAGTGAAACGAAACGTTACTGAAACTGTCACCCACAATATGCTACAGCATACAGCGTACATAGTATAGTGCCTGTTTTACCTCCATCCCACTCTTGAGCCTGTGGCACTGCAGTCGCTATCGAGTTTTACAGAATACCAATATATAATCTTGCCGCGGATTTCGCTTTCGAATTCGTAAATGATGCTTACAGAATATCTCTACTGATCTCCCGCATGCGTAACTCTGTCTGTCACACGTCTACACTAGTGCTCGTGTGGGCGGAGACGGGTCGAAATGCTTAAAAGTAAAACTTATTTTTCTTGTATAATGTTTTGTCTTATTGAACGTTTTGTTATTAGTATTATTTTATATTGATACTCTACTCTACGAAATCATTATATTTTGTTTATTTTCCAATAATTATATTATTATTTTGACATTTAAATTTAATTATTTTGGTAGCATTTAAGTAGTTTGTATGCCAGCTAGGCTAAACTTGTAGCATAAATTCATGGTGTACCTAAAAGCTCTTTATGTAAACCGGATGATAGCGGTCGAGTGCAGATGGCACTCCAAATCTGTGGAAGGACTTATGGAGCATTTGAAGGCCAACTCTTGCTTGACGGATATCACTTTAGTCTGGGAACCTCGTCTCAGGGTGCTGTAATTTCGATCTCAGTTTGAATTGAACGGGGTATCGATCGAAGGTATTCAATATGATGACGGCTGTGATGTTGTGTGTATGTAGATGGTGTCCGGCAGCGGCGTGGGCAGCGGCGAGTGTCCGTCGTCCCCCGCGTCCTCCTCCCCCGCCGCCGACAGCCCCCTGCACACCACCACGCACTACCAACGGTAAATATCACTGAACCTTACATCTGCGAAGGAGCCAATTATTGGATTCCGTCACTATAGCTCCATCTGTGAGACATCCTGTAATTGATCTCACAGATGGAGCGTTAATGTCATTTTGACAGCGAACAGTTGGATGGATAACACTATACAATTTGTATGACAGCTTCTGGTGTGATTCGTAAATCGTAAATTAATTCATACATGATGGACCACTTTTCAGGCATAAGAAGGATATTTGTATTTATGTAAGGAAACTCCTCGCTAACTTAGTTTACACAGTATTCTTCAAAGTCTGAATCCTTGGGAATGATATCCCGAATGCTTGGGAATAGTATCCTGAATTTTGTGAGGAAATCTTACTAATATAAGCGCGTAAATTTGTGAGAATGCAGAAGCACCCGTTGACGAGTATGACGGTTAGAGCGAACACTTTGACCCGACCCACCACGCCGCCACAAGTGTCATTTATTACCGATCCATAGGCCATCGTCGTTGCACGGGCTGAAACACAAGTTAGTGGGAGCTGGAGGCGGCGCAGGCGCCGGTGAAGTACGACGAGCTTCGCTGCAGCACGTGGCGCACTTGCCGCACGTACCACACATGCCGCTGTCGCCGCTCGCCAGGACACCGTCGCCGTCACCACAGCCGCAACCGGCTTCGCCCACCAGGTAACGATCTGATTATATCTTTTTTGTATAATAATTTTATAAAACTTATATTCCGTATATGGTCCTTCGAACCGGATTGATATTAAGGCGATTTTCAGGATTTCTCGATTCAATAAAAATATATTGTATATATGATCTTTTGCTATGCAGCTCGCATTGGCTTTAGAGAGATTATTATAATACTACATAGGAAATTCTTATATTTTTTAAATTCGTTTTTCAATTAATAGATTTTTTATTAAGTTAATTTCTAAATTTTCAAAGGTTAATTTTTTTATCAGATATCATTAAAATGTGAAGTGCTTTGAGTTTATATCAGCAGTGGATAATGCTTCCCACAACCAATAAATGATCGATTTAAGTGTTAGTAATACGACATCGTGTGATTGCCGTAGCCGATGCGAGGCGCGCAGTCCGTCACCGCTGGCGGGCGCGTGCGTGACGGGCGTGGGCGGCGTGGCGGGCGTGGCGGGCGTGGTGGGCGCGGGCGGCGCGGCGCGCGACTGCGGCGGCCGGCGCGCCTGGGCCCGCCGGGACCCGGCCTCGCCGCTGCTGCGCCGGGCCCTCTCCCCGGACAGGTACGTACTGCGCGGGCGTGGCGAGCGGGGCGGGCGTGGCGGGCGAGTGTGGGCGCGGGCGGCGCGGCGCGCGACTCATTATATTTTGCGCCTGGGCCAATAATTATATTATTATTTTAACTGCTTTCCCCGGACAGGTACGTACTGCGCGATGGCGAGCGTTTGGTGGGCGCGGGCGGCGCGGCGCGCGACTGCGGCGGCCGGCGCGCCTGGGCCCCCCGGGACCCGGCCTCGCCGCTGCTGCGCCGGGCCCTCTCCCCGGACAGGTACGTACTGCGCGAGCGTGGCGAGCGTGGCGGGCGTGGCGGGCGTGGTGGGCGCGGGCGGCGCGGCGCGCGACTGCGGCGGCCGGCGCGCCTGGGCCCGCCGGGACCCGGCCTCGCCGCTGCTGCGCCGGGCCCTCTCCCCGGACAGGTACGTACTGCGCGAGCGTGGCGAGCGTGGCGGGCGTGGCGGGCGTGGTGGGCGCGGGCGGCGCGGCGCGCGACTGCGGCGGCCGGCGCGCCTGGCCCCGCCGGGACCCGGCCTCGCCGCTGCTGCGCCGGGCCCTCTCCCCGGACAGGTACGTACTGCGCGAGCGTGGCGAGCGTGGCGGGCGTGGCGGGCGTGGTGGGCGCGGGCGGCGCGGCGGCCGGCGCGCCTGGGCCCGCCGGGACCCGGCCTCGCCGCTGCTGCGCCGGGCCCTCTCCCCGGACAGGTACGTACTGCGCGAGCGTGGCGAGCGTGGCGGGCGTGGCGGGCGTGGTGGGCGCGGGCGGCGCGGCGCGCGACTGCGGCGGCCGGCGCGCCTGGGCCCGCCGGGACCCGGCCTCGCCGCTGCTGCGCCGGGCCCTCTCCCCGGACAGGTACGTACTGCGCGAGCGTGGCGAGCGTGGCGGGCGTGGCGGGCGTGGTGGGCGCGGGCGGCGCGGCGCGCGACTGCGGCGGCCGGCGCGCCTGGGCCCGCCGGGACCCGGCCTCGCCGCTGCTGCGCCGGGCCCTCTCCCCGGACAGGTACGTACTGCGCGAGCGTGGCGAGCGTGGCGGGCGTGGCGGGCGTGGTGGGCGCGGGCGGCGCGGCGCGCGACTGCGGCGGCCGGCGCGCCTGGGCCCGCCGGGACCCGGCCTCGCCGCTGCTGCGCCGGGCCCTCTCCCCGGACAGGTACGTACTGCGCGAGCGTGGCGAGCGTGGCGGGCGTGGCGGGCGTGGTGGGCGCGGGCGGCGCGGCGCGCGACTGCGGCGGCCGGCGCGCCTGGGCCCGCCGGGACCCGGCCTCGCCGCTGCTGCGCCGGGCCCTCTCCCCGGACAGGTACGTACTGCGCGAGCGTGGCGAGCGTGGCGGGCGTGGCGGGCGTGGTGGGCGCGGGCGGCGCGGCGCGCGACTGCGGCGATTCGCGCCTAAAAATATATTGTGCGCCGGGCCCTCTCCCCGGACAGGTACGTACTGCGCGAGCGTGCGGCGGCCGGCGCGCCTGGGCCCGCCGGGACCCGGCCTCGCCGCTGCTGCGCCGGGCCCTCTCCCCGGACAGGTACGTACTGGGCGAGCGTGGCGAGCGTGGCGGGCGTGGCGGGCGTGGCGGGCGTGGCGGGCGTGGTGGGCGCGGGCGGCGCGGCGCGCGACTGCGTTTTTCGGCGCGCCTGGGCCTTTTATAAAGTTACTTAAAAATTTTTGCGCCGGTTAATTTTTTACAGGTACGTACTGCGCGAGCGTGGCGAGCGTGGCGGGCGTGGCGGGCGTGGTGGGCGCGGGCGGCGCGGCGCGCGACTGCGGCGGCCGGCGCGCCTGGGCCCGCCGGGACCCTGCCTCGCCGCTGCTGCGCCGGGCCCTCTCCCCGGACAGGTACGTACTGCGCGAGCGTGGCGAGCGTGGCGGGCGTGGCGGGCGTGGTGTGCGCGGGCGGCGCGGCGCGCGACTGCGGCGGCCGGCGCGCCTGGGCCCGCCGGGACCCTGCCTCGCCGCTGCTGCGCCGGGCCCTCTCCCCGGACAGGTACGTACTGCGCGAGCGTGGCGAGCGTGGCGGGCGTGGCGGGCGTGGTGTGCGCGGGCGGCGCGGCGCGCGACTGCGGCGGCCGGCGCGCCTGGGCCCGCCGGGACCCTGCCTCGCCGCTGCTGCGCCGGGCCCTCTCCCCGGACAGGTACGTACTGCGCGAGCGTGGCGAGCGTGGCGGGCGTGGCGGGCGTGGTGTGCGCGGGCGGCGCGGCGCGCGACTGCGGCGGCCGGCGCGCCTGGGCCCGCCGGGACCCTGCCTCGCCGCTGCTGCGCCGGGCCCTCTCCCCGGACAGGTACGGCGTCACAGTACTGATGATGAATTTAGGTAATGGTTGCCATTCACCATAGAGTACAGAGAGCTTTTTCCTCTAGATCTGCTCTAGATCCGAAGTAGAATTAGGAGTACGGCGATGTGCTGTACTGCTAATCCATCGAAATGTCAGTATTGTTCTTTTATAAATGTATTCTACTGTGCCCGGCAGACTGCATCCTCGCTCCGCGGAGGCGAAGTGCGCGATCTCCCCGCTGTGCTGCGGGGGCGCGGGCGGCGGGCCGGTGTCTGTGGGCGGGGCGGGGGCGGGCGGCGCGGGCGGCGGGGCGGGCGGGCGGCGCGGCCCGTGGCGCGGCCCGCCCCCCGCGCCGCCCACGCCCCCGCCCGCGCCCGACAAGCCCGAGGAGCCGCTGCTGCCGCGCATCGCGGAGGAGAAGGACTCGCCCACGCACCACGCCAACCACCCGCTCCACAGGTACCACAGGTTTTTTATGGATGGTAATGGAATGGTGCACCCGCTTGCGCTAACGGTTTATGCTGGCGGGGCACCAGTGGAGAATAATGATGCTCATCTTGACCATGAGGCTAGGTCAGTTTGCCCACCGCAACTAAGTAACCAGGAATTAACCATGATGATTTCCAGGTGGAACCGCGTCGTCCTAAAATGACACATTGCTAGCAATGGGGACACTAGACACCATTACTAACAATCCATTTCCCCCCACCCACAAGAGGTTATATCTTCCACTCCTATACAGGGTACATGTAAATGTAAGTTGAACTACTTTGTCCGCAATCAGCCTCTCATCTGAGCCGTTGTACGTGTAGAGCCGAGAATACAAAAGTAGCCAGCCAAGCTCCTCCCAAAAGCGCAGAACTCTCCTGATATCTTCACAGGCTTCACGGAGCGACCTCACCGTTCCGTGAATTTATTTTCATTGTGACTGCTGAAATACAGAGTTTAAATAGTTATCAATAAAATATTACTGTTTGCAACGCCTTATAGATGGCGTTATAACAAAATTAAGGGCAGCAACAAAAAGTTTATTCGCTTAGTTTGAAAGGGTCGAAAAATTAATCCCGCGCAGTATTTTTTTGTACATATATGAACATCTATTTTTGATTACAAAGAATCGACAACCCTATTCTTTGGTATTCAATAAAAAACGACATTCTTGATTATTGGAATGTTACGTAGGGGGCGTAACCTAATAAAGTAACGCCTCTGATTTACATTCACATAAACTGTCGTTACATATTATAACATTATAATAGGGCTGATGATAATTGATGTTAAGGCTATATCTTTTGTTGTTATAGTAGTTTTACACAATAACTTTGAACCTGTGATATAGTGATGCAAATCTGCACGTTCGATGGTAGATTGTGCCAGTGTACGTTTTAACTAACACGTAGGTCACGCAGTAGCTCATATATATAGTTTATGTAATTATTGTATGCTAGAGTAATTCAAGATGTAACAGTTAATATACAATCCGAAACAACCTCGTTCCTTTTTTTTCAAACCACATTCCTCAATATTGATTCATAAGATTGTAACCTTATAAATAATTCAGCAGGACTCCAGCCAAGCAGACGACGCCAAGCATCTTCACATCATCGCCGAAGCCAAGCTTGGACAAGTCGTCTTTCGACGCGTCCACGTCGTTCGCATCGCTGTCATTATCCGATGACTCGTTCGCCGACGGATCCGCGGATATGTCCAACATCGACACGTCCAGGGAAATCAATATGGGTAAGTGGATTAAATTTTGTTATATATGACTAACTCCTGAAGGTTGGGGCCTCGGGGTGAACCCCTTTACCTCGGCATCGATTCCGGGGTAAACAACCTCCGATAGATATTCCATTTCATTTGTATTACGATACATAAATTCTTAAACCTTAAGTTTCCCTCTCGCTTCGCGCCCCACATACATGCAGGGGCTCAACCCCCAATGTTATATATACATATCTATGTACAATAAAAATATATTATATATAAATATATAGTCGATACTGTACTATATACATGTATATATATAAATGAAACTAATTCCCTTGGTCAGGTTATTACGTGTGAATGGCTGAGCTGATGACTAAAATGACTTATTTACTTCCAGACGACAGTCGAACAAGTTCAGATAGCCTGACTACAGACGACAAACAAAAAAAGCAAATAGTACAAGAGCCAATACCAGTGCCGCCTGTTCCCGAACAGCCAAAAGCCAGGAAAAGATCGGATTCCAGTCTAAAAGACGAAGAAATAAAAAGTAAAGACAAGAAGAAAGAAAAACCAGAACTAAAGAAGCAAGATTCAATTAAAAAGACGGAAAAACCGGATATAAAAGAGGAAAAGATTGCAGAAGTTAAAGTAGAGGAGAAAAGTAAAGAGAAAGTTATGGAGAGGGTTGGGTCAGTTAAGAAGACGGAAAAGCAAGAAAAGGCTGAGGCGAAGAAGCAAGAGAAACAAGAAAAAGCAGAAAAGAAGCAAGAGAAGATGGAAGCAAAGAGGACCGAGTCGATTAAAAAGAATGAAGGATTGAAGAGGCAAGAGTCAGTTGATACAATGAAAGTAAGTTATTTGTTTTTATGTTACTATTTATTTATAAATAGCTGTGCCCCTGACTTCGTTCTCCCGTATGAAATCGCAGCTAACATTTACTTGGGTACGTTAAAACACAGCTATATTGAGCAGATAAAGGAAAAAGTTGGAATCGTGTCGTAAAAACAACTAAAGCGATTGATGGAAAATTGTGAAATAGGGTTGAGTTTCTTAACAGTTCTTCTTAATTTATTTAAAAGAACAACACACAAGTTTCTTACTCATTCTTCTTGTGTTGAATCTGCATTCCAAATGAGCGGTAGAATAAAAAAAATTGACTATTTAAAAGTATATTAAGTTTATTTGAATAAAGATTATTTCTATTTCTAATTGAAACTGTATACTCAACTGGATGGTAGGAAAAATGTGAATACAAAAAAGTTTATAGCGACAAAAATGTTATAAAGGATTATTTTTGATTTGATACATTATTTGTTTCTCTTCTATTGCGTTTAGTTAAACATGATTTATGCATATTATTAGATTTTATAATTTGCCACGGAAAACGCTAGTTTATGTATGTATTTACTGGTAATCAGGCACCAGAAGCGGTGGAATGCGAGGCTCGTACCAAGAACAGCATGGTCAGCAAGCTGCTCGGGGTGATGGTGCGCAAGGGTCGCGACCGGGACGATGATGACCACCGGCCTCCCAAGAAGCAGGAGAAGACCAAGAAAAAAGTTAGTATATATAATTTATTTCAGGCAACTTAATATTATTATATAAAAATATTGGGCCATATTACATATAAGCACTAACATATATAGAAAATAATAAAACATAAAATAAAATATTATTATAGACTTTATGGTAACACAATCACTCTGGCAATCTGCCACGGTATAGCAGTACACAAATTCCTTCGGCCAGTAGTCTTCCTTCATGATGATGGACAGCATGTTGGTAGGACCCGGGCCACGAATGCTTTGAAGTTCACGTTGTGACTCGATTCCAGCTGCGTCACACTCAATGTCAGGTTACTTTTGGTCCGGATATAGTCGACGATGCCCTACTCCTATATGTATATATATATAGTACTAGCTGTCCCGGCAAACGTTGTTTTGCCTTAAAATAAAATAAAAAATTTAGGGTGGACTACCCCTAACATTTAGGGGGATGAAAAATAGATGTTGGCCGATTCTCAGACCTACTCAATACGCTCACAAAATGTCATGAGAATCGGTCAAGCCGTTTCGGAGGAGTATGGGAACGAAAACTGTGACACGAGAATTTTATATATAAGATATGCAGTGGCTCAGTATAGGTAGATAGAAACTACATTTTATTCCTAATAATTTAGAAGTTACGTACGTAAAATTATGTGATTAGAATATGGATTACACGTCCTCGGCGGTCTACCGATTTAACACACCGCATATAACGTACAAGGAATCGAACCCTAAACAATCGGAAGTAAGCGGTCTGCTAAATCGCTAGACCATCATACACCAGGCCGATGTTTTAACTGGGTAATATCATAATTATCTGTATATTCACAATTGCAGAACACAAACCAATCAAACCAACCATCGCAATCCAAACACGACACTGACAAGAGTGAGAAACAAGAAGAGGACAGAAAAGGCAAGAAAGGGAGAGGACGTGCCTCCAGTTCCTCCTCAGGAGAGAAGTAGAGTGAATAAGATATATAATCGTGAGTCTCCAACATGGACATTACAAGTAATATGTTATAATCGGTGATATATACATGTAAAATATCATAAAATGTGTTTGTACATCTTGAATTTGCGCGTCTAACTTCAGCGCCTTCTAAATATGATGCAAATGAATTTATAAGTTTTTAAAAAGTATTTTCAAATTGTCAAATTAGTGTTGTAATGATGTCGATGAAATGAAAACGTAGTTATTGTGTTAGTACAGCATACAGCATTTATAATGTAGATTGTGGTTTTATTATGTAACACAGTTGCTGATAATACTCTAATTGTACAGATTATAATCGACAAGCTGACCCGCACAACTTTTACTGCGTTACAGAAGAGAGAGATAGTAATATATATCTTTTTCTTGTAAAACATTTTATAATTTTTATTAATGCTTGGAATCCTATAGTTTCTATAGCATTCCTCAATAAATGGGCTTTATCGATATCCAACTATCAAAGAATATTTCAATTAGAACCAATTATTATAGAGGTTAGTGCGTTTAACCGTATCAACAAACTCTTCAGCTTTAAAGTTAGTAAAGATATGATTGTGATCTTACAGAGTTTGAGAATTGTAGTTAGAAGTTAATTTGTGCAGATCGCAATTACATTAGTTTTGTATTTATAAACACCTCAATTGAATATGTATTAAATGAGAATTATTGGAAACTGTGCTACATAATTAAACTCTTGTTTCATACATTTTTAAGTTCATAGCATACATGATGATATTCATAATGAAAAAGAAAATGAATTAATTGATTTACATTATACTCGGTCAATTTTATTATGTTCCTTTTGACGTTTGAACGCCTGTCAAGAAAGTTTTATGACAGTTACCACGTGATAATCTTATTTCATCGAAATAAATGAACGAGTAGTGATGTTCTCAAAATTTTATGCTTATCGAAACATGGCTTATAAGCAACAAGTCATGTATAAATTCTAAAAGAGTATCATTTCTAAAAAATTTACTATGCGTACATCGAAGATTTTTAAGAGAGAGAATATGTTTTGTTAGGAAATTAAGTGCGCAATTTATATTTTTGTGAAATATTTGTGTATGTACTCTCTCATAAAATTAGTTATAATTTTATAATGTTATTGTTATAAGTTATATTAATTATCGATGGTTACACAATCGGGTTATTGGACATCATTACATCACAAATTTATCACGTATCCTGTTGTCATAGGAACAATAATAAAATGGACAATTTATAATGATATATTTTGTGAAATCAACACGATTTATAATGAAACTCAACCTGAAATCTACAAAGACGATTGCAACAGCGTCGAAATATCGGGAGTTCAATTTTAACACGGTAAATATCCCGTTAATGTGTACAATTGTAAACGACCGTGTTACAATAATGTTTAAAACAATGAATTCTAATCTATTGATAATAAGGGAAGTTGGTTACCATTTTGCAAGCTCTAATTGTAGTTCGAAATGTAAGTTATTAAGGTCGAAAATCGTACTCGTTTAATGAAAAATTTGTGTAAAATGAAAGTCGATCGAGTCGAGTCGATAGAGGCGGTGTGTTGGTTTGCAATGTCTGGTGAGTGTTCACTTAGAGTAAAAGAGAGAGGGATACAATGATAGTGAGATGAAATAAATAAGATATATTTTGATCTATTCAACTTTTATGTGTTCTTCGATTTGTAGGTATAAGGTATTGGTTTCGACCGATAAATATTGGTGTTCGGTGTTGTGTCTACGATTAAATACGGTGGAGTGTGTAGTATTATGTATTGTATTTATTAGCTCACAAGGTTCAAAATTACATGTTAAATTTAATTAATTAAATATTTTGTTGATATTTTTAATAAATTTTTAAATATATTTAATAATAACGTAAACGAAACTGTACTTAATATAAATTTGCTTGTAACAAAAAATGTAAGATTTTAACGTAAAATACATATATAAGAGTTGAAGAATTGAGGTCTCATAAATCTTCATTTGATTTATAATGTAATGGGGCCCTTATAATACTAATTTGTCTATATGTGAATGTAATATATATTGATGGAATATATAGTATACAATAAAAAAATGTGCCACAATTTTATGACTTCTAATCGTACTTGTTATAGAGATGAGAAGTTTTATAACGGCACAGATAATCTTTCACAATGGAATCCCAACGTAAAACATTCTCTGACACGTTGGGATAAAGTACTTTTTGCAATGGAATTTTATGCAATGATTACCTATATAAGCAATATGTTGCAGTAATGTTATAAGAATTTACATTCAAGTTTTTCTTTTGAGAAATTGTTGAAAAAAAAAACAGCTATTGCTTATGAAAATCGTATGGTGGCATGGAAATTTGTAATGCGTATCGTAGATCTAGAATACCATAAATAATTATTGAATGGGGCCAAATCTATGGTAAATGTATTGCACCATACCACCTATTAGATAAATGATGTTTTAAATGTTACTATGCATACGGCCCGCCTGATGGCAAGTCTGAGGTTTTGCATTTTAAATTATAGTGGCCAATAATTCCACAAGTTAAAGGGCCTGTCAAGAGTTAATAATGCCTCTGCCTACCCCACCTGGAATTACAGTCGTGGATATACAAAATACTACACATTCCACTTTCAGTGTATACCTAAATGTAAAAATTAAAAAAAAAATGTTGCTGTAAGCTTCTCTAGACTGTGTATAGATTTAGTACGGCGATGAACAGACGAACTGTTATTTCTAAGCTTTTGATGCCCATTCAAAACTATTTGGCAGTGTGAAGTGTTATTAAGAACACTGACTGTAACCCGTGGCGGTGTTCGCGTGAAAATCCCATATTACTCCCTATTAATGTATCTTTCTATAGGTCAAAAGTTATTTTAAAGCCGTCAAGTGTTTTTGTATTTGTAAATTACAAGCCAATATTAATTTAAACTCATGTTTCTAATTCTTTTAATTTCATTGTTATAATTATTATGAATGTATATTAAAAGACGTTTTAATATGACTTATAATATGCAAATCGCAGAATTGTTGAAAGAAATTTATTGTTAGTTTCACTATTTTACCGAAATGGTTTTGTTCAGGATTCTATTAGGACGCAATAAAGTGGCCATTTTGTTTTAGCACGTGATTGAAAACAAAATGGCGGCGAATAACATTTAGCGGGTTTCAAATGTATGGTCGAAGACCTATTGTTTATTTTAGTGTCCTCACTTAATCTTTCGAGTTTAGTATGAATTATTAATGTAGATAATTGAGTCTTAAAACGAATAAGATGACAGACAGCTCGTGACCACGGCTTATCGAAACGTCGAGAGGTAAACCTTTATTTACCATAAATGAATTAACTATATTAATAAAATCGTTTCTGTAGTTTTCCAGTATTACAATGTTGAGGCGTTAGGCCGGCTGCATACTAGAAATTTCAGGCGAACTATTCCACAATATGCGGCCAGCCTTAAGTATTTTTATGTAAAATGTAAATGTTGCAGCACGCTTTGTTTTCAAATTGTAATTTATAGAATCTTTTAATGTTTTTTTTTAATCTCATTTATAGTGTTAGTCGAGCTGTAGTTTGGATTACGACGGTTTATGAGTTACATGAGTACGTCTATGGTGTAGAGGTTAAATGCATTCTCTAATAGACACAGGTTTGATCCCAGCATATTATAAGTATTTGTGTACATAGTATGTTTGTGTTGTTTTGGTTTTTTATATGTATATTGCGTTATTATAAAAAAGATTGAAGAAAGATTGAAGAACACTTGTCTGTTACTGGTGTAATAAATACTGTTTCACAAGTTCTGCTTAGTTAGGGCAAAAAGATGGTGTGATATGATTATGCATTGGATATCATTTAGTATTTTAATAATTTCAAGCATAATATAGTAATAAGATGTATTAGTATTGTCTATGGATTGTTTATTTTCTTTTAATAGAATTCAAAGGAAATGTATATTCTAAGTTCCAATATTTTTTTTAATACTGTCAATTTTACAAGGAAGTTTTGAATTTGAAGGTATATATGTTGGCAATGTTTATGAGAAGCTTTTTATCCAAAAAGGTTCAATATGAAATATTTTTTTTACGATAAATCTGAAACGTTGTATGTCCAACTGTAGTCTAAATACAAGTCCATAGCGATCAAAGATAACTAAACAATCACCAAATAAGATAATCATTAGTAAAATGACATTTGTTTCACATGACTAATGAAGGTAAAACAATGTATTTTGATTGTCGGTAGATTACTTTTTGCGATAAGGCCGCCCTTTTGGTGAGTACATTCTTACAATGCGTTCTTTGATTCAGGTTTATTGAGATTTTAACCACATACAAAAGTATTTTTTTGTTATGTTTTGTTTTATGATATCCGTCGTAAAAAAATTGCCTAACAATCATGAGTGTTGGAAAATCATTTGACAAATGATTATTTAAGTTTGAATTTTGAATGCCTTTATTACGAACTAGTTGGCCCGCGTGACTTTGTCTGCGTCACGTTTTCCCTGTTTTTGCAACATTTTTTATTGCAGCTGTACTCCCATTGGTCGTTATATATACGACATCCTCGATAAGGGGTCTATCCAACACTAAAATAATTTTCAAGATCGTTTCAATAGATTCATAGATAACACACTTTACTTTTACTTTTTATTTAACTTTACCTTTTTATAATATTATTATAGCTAATCATTTATAAACATGTTTCATTTTCGGTCATGTTTTTTTTAGTGTATATTGGTCGTTATGGGCTTGTATTTGCAGAGTGTTTTTTTAAAGGAACTATAGCTGTTACTGATAGTGACATATTGTGATATATTATTATAACTTCCTAGCGATTTAATGCTACGTTAGTATTTTAATTAGTCTCCACGCTTTTTTTTTCTAATTGTTACGTTTTCCAGTTTTTTTCTTATTGCGTTTTTTTATTACTTGTATTTTTTCTTTTCGTAATGTAATATTTGTTTCTATATTTTTAAGTGAAAATTTCTGTAGGCGTCCTTTGGGTATTAAATGAAATTGTCTCTTCCGAT